CTAAACTGTGGTTTAGTTAAATTTAGTTCGCATAATCCCATCTTCTGCTCACAGAGATTGGTTCAGGGATAGGCATGTGACCCATTGGGGTCACTGAGGTGTGAGAAGGGTCTGGAAAGTAAGCTTCCTTGACCTTGCAAGAATGCTCCCAGAAGTGCCTTTCTTTTTCCCTTTGTGAGTTACCACATGTAGATATGAAGGCTGGAGCTGCTGCAGCCATTTCATTGCCATGAGGGAAGTCTGCCTGGGACCAAGATGATTCAGAGGAGACTGAAAGAAGAGTACAGCTAAGTGCTAGATCTAGAATGCAGACTGAACTATACCTGATCACCTGCCCACTGCAGAACATTTGTAGTGACTTAAACCAACAAGTCTGTTTGTTGTTTAAATTTGAGTTGGTTTCTGCTCTTTACAGCAGAGAGTATTTCAGCAGACAAACTGAGTTAAACAAAATTGGATAGGTTACTTAGGGAGGGTCCTCCTAGGACTTTTATTATGTTGACGTGCATTGTTAGATTCAAGAGAAACATCAAATATGTCCTATTTCTCAAGTTTATTTGGTTGTAGATTCTGTTCTTTCAGAGCCCATTTCACAGGACAAGATCTAGTCTGACTCCCAAGTCTTACAAAGGTGGAAACTGAGATCCAGGGATTTAAATGACTTTTCTAAGCTATTATTAGTAGTCAGTCACAGATCTGGGCCTCAAGTTTAGACCTACTGAATACCAGGCTTGCAGTCTCACTTCAAAGTCATACCCCATCACTGCCCAAAGAGGTTAAGACGTTCTCTCACTGAAGATGAATCCAAAAGAAGAATCTAATTATTCTTTTGCAGAGACTCCAGATTCCTAGGACTAGATACTAAAGCAAAGTTTGCAAATTAGGGGCTCACAGGCAAAATAAGAACTTCAAGCCAAACAAAATAGGCATGAAGTATTTGAAAAAATTATATTAGATTATTTCATTTAAATATCAGGTTTTTTAATATAAAAATATTAACTTCTAAGTTCCTTTAATAAAATTCAGACAATCTGGCAATACTAGGTTATATTTCCACATGGTGCCCAGCTCTGCTTCCTGATGTGAGAACATGGGTCCCCCTGTTTGCCACAGTGCTCACCATTCCCTAGCTCATCCTGGCACTGATGTTGAAGATCAGTTCCCATTTATTAGTACACAGATAATATTGCTTTTCTTTTTGTATCTTTTCTTTTTGTATTAGTCTTTTTGTATCTTTTCTTCTTGTATTAGTCTGTTTCATTCATTTAATTACTTGCCTGGCCCTGTAGTCAATTATTTTGCTATATTGAAGAAGGTAAAATTCACCAAACTGAGATGTTAATATATGTTAGAAAAAATCTCCAAGGTTAAGTAAGTTTGGAACAACACTGAGTTAAGGATGGGCAGATTTCTTTACTGTGTCTCTTTTCTTAGTTCCCTCATGGAACATGGGTTAGGAGGGCCAATATATTATTTTTTGATCCTGAATGTCTTTTTTTCAGGGACCATCTCTTTGTCACTATTATTCCACTGAATACACTTTGGGAAATACTGCTACTATAAAACCTCTTATGTCCCTCGCTGCCAGTGAACCCGTGGACCAAGGTCTCTTTTTGCTAGGATTGCTATCACCTCGGTTTTTCCCTGTTCCCTGGAAGCTATTTTGAGAAGAGAACAACAGCCTGGCCTGTGTCAGACCAGTTCCCAGCCCAGGTCAGTCTAGGGTCTGATCAACACTGAGATTATCCCCAAGAACAGGCCCATGATTCTAGGCCCATGCTTAGGGCAGGGGATTTCTGGCAGATCAGGGAGAATAGGATCAGGCTAATTGAGGTCCACACTCATTCTTCCCTAAAGAACCAGTTTCCTGGCTCACCACTGTGTGTCGTCTCTGAGAAAAACAACAAAGGAGAAAAGTAGCAAACAAAAAGTGATGGGGTGCATTGGTTGACAGTCTCTTCAAAGAAAGGCAACCTGACAATTATTTTCCCTTTTTATAATTTTATTATTCAAAGGTGAGGAATGACTAAATCTCATCTCTAGGTGTTCAGTGTGCTAACAATCAAGACAATTAGATTTAGCTGCTCACACACACACACACACACACACACACACACACACACACACGCTTCAGATTAGCTTTTTAGACATGGAACAGTGGCCCTGCAAGCAAAGAGACCAGAAGCACATCTGATGCTGAGGGAGGGCATTGAGTTTTTTGTAGAGGTGCCCTGGAGACAAATGAGTCCTTTGTATTCAATGGTCTCTTATAAACCCTTCCATCAGCCAGCTCCAAGTTGGTCACCCTCCATGTCCCTGGGGAAGAGAACCCCTCCTTGGAAGGAAGCCCCTAAATAGCTGCTGTGCACTTCTAAGAGTGACGAGAGGGACTGCAGAACACCCGCTGGGTTGGGGTTGATAAAGTCAGAGGGATGGTGCTCCTTGAAAGAGATGGACGTTTTTCTTATCTGCCAAGAAGGCAAGCCTTCCCCTGCTAGGGACTCAGTCCTCAAAGGCTTTGGATTGCTAGCCCAGAAAGCGCTCAGTCAGGGCGGTTGCTCTGTAAGCCCAGACTTGACTCCCTTGCTTCTTTGTTGGCTGCATGTGCAGTCATAAAGTTAAGACCTACAATAACTCTTATCTTTCTCTCTTTCACTAGAGAGAGATATGGATATGGCTGACCGAGAGAATGTCCTGTCCCTAACAACCCTCAATGGAACCTTTGTAAAACAACAGCATGTCTAAAATTACTTTAAATAATGTGGCAAGACAGGTGGTTCACCGTTTTTGCTTTTGTTGGGACAACATCAAAGAGAAATCTTAAGGAAAGCCTTGATGATGGAGCTAACATGAGTTTTACATTTGAAAAATAAAGCAATTGCAGCTTGCGTACTGAACATTTATTATATATCAGGCATAGTGTTAAACACTTCCCGATGATGCAATTCTCATGATCACCCCAGGAAAGGTTTCAGTTTTGTAGATGATAAAACGAGGCTCAGAGAGGTTGGGTCACCTGCCTAACATCATGTAGTTAATGAGTGATTTGACTCAGGCAGTGTGTTCCAGTTCATCTAATTCAATGCTCTACTGCTCTCCTGAAAAATAGTCATGCCTCTTCTGTCCAGAGGTCTCCAAATATGCTCCAGTGTGCTCATAGTCACACTGGACTAACAGTGGATGAGAATTTATGCAAAATTCTTAAATGTTAAACATATTTGGAACACCAAAGAAAATGCCACATAATAAAGACCTCTTAATTTTAATAAACAGTGGATTCAAGGGGTGCCTGGGTGGCTCAGTCTGTTAAGTGCGTGACTCTTGTTTTTGGCTCAGGTCATCATCTCAGGGTTGGGAGATCAGCCCTGCCTTGGGCTCCGCGCTCAGTGCAGAATCTGCTTGTCCCTCTCCCTCCCCCTGCTTGTACTCTCTCTCTCTCTCTCAAATAAATAAATAAATAATAAATAAATAAATCCTTTAAAAAAATAAACAACGGATTCAAGCTTTTTTTTTTTTTTTTTTTTTAAATCTGGTTTTTGGTTTTAGATCATAATTCTGACTGTGGAGAATTAAACGGCTTCACTGAAATAAAGTAATTCTATCTCCCTAATCCATCTCCTCTATAAACAGTAGCAGTAATGGCAACAGTCACAGAAAGATCAGAGCTATAGGCCCACAAGATTCCCCACTGGGTTTTGCTTTACCTGCTATAGACGATACACTCTTGGTTATTGATCACTTTATCAGATTTGTACCTCCGGAGGTCTTCCCAAGCATCCTTGATGGCAGTGACCGCCAGAATGATACAGATAGGTATCATGCTCACCTCAGGCTGGAAAGCATTGACCACGGGGACAAAATTCAGAACCACAATGCCCAGAAAATAGAGATTAGCAAAGCGGTGTAGCTGTTCAAAGATGTTCTTGGGTATGAAGGACAACATGGTGTACTTGCTGGTCTTAATTTGATTCCCACAATAATGCCTGTTGGGATTCTCTTTGTAGGACGGTCCTTCAAAGGGCAGGTTGGAGACTACCACTCGTTTCTTGTCTTCTTTCCTTTTCCACCTTTTCTTCCCTTCCTTTCTCATCTCTGCTCAATCCGTCTCTTTAATTCTCATAGCACGGCACATGAGTTCCCCGTAAAAGAGTTTTTTCGCTAATCAGTTCCATTGTTGAGCTGCCAGTGAGTCATGTCCCTGACATCTTTTACTTGCCTTCTCTGCTGGAAATTTCTCTCTCTTCTTTCAAAAGGAAAATTAAAAATAAAAAGCTGGTTTACAAACACCAGGTGAGAAATGACAAGGAAAAAGCTTGCAGAGAACAGGTGTACACCTGCCAGGCCACTTCCTTCTACCTGTTGAGACTCCTCCTGTTGGAATATCGACGTCACCCACGGGGATCTTCCTTTTCCACTCAGGCAGCCAAGAACAGGTGTGCCAACTCTAGGTCCTAAAACCTACCTGCTTAAGTTTTAAAAACAAGAAGCCTCAGATGCTTTAAAAGTGTTACACATTTTCTTGTTTGGGAGACACTGCCTGTCACTCTCCAAAGAGCTGCTCTTAAACTTGGTCTCCCAAGAGGATCCAGTCAATTCTAGACATCAATTCTTGAGGTTTCAACCCTACTCTTAATAATGGAACATTCTTGTATTTAATAATTTGAGTGTTTACACATGTTAAATTAAGGTATCTAAACCTCAGCACTACTGACATTATTTGTTGTGGAGGGCTATCCTGTATATTGTAAGATGTTTAGCATCATCTTTCTGCCTTTATCCACTACATGCCGTTGGCAAATTCCTTCCCTATATGGCAGCCAAAAATGTCTCCAGGCATTGTAAAATGTTCCCTGCTGGGAAAAACTGCCCAGGTTGAGAATCACTGAATTAAGTGAACTTAAGAAAATAAAATGTGAGAAAAGAGACCAATCCTTTGAAAATGCTGATGAGCTTGCATATCCTATTGGCAAGAAAGCAAACAGAAGAATGATTTCTCCTACCTTTCATATATCCAGATGTTGGAGCAGTTGATCTCTCTATCAAAACGATGTCTCTTGAAGTCCTCCATGCCATCCTTGACCATGATGATGAACAGCACAATGGCCAATGGTAACATGGTGATTTCTCTGTGGAAAACTTCCATGGAGGGCATCCAGTTCAGAATCACCAGGAACAGGAAATAGAGGTTAGCCCATCTGGAAGGAGCAAGCAAAGTGTGAGTGAAAACCATGGAGAGGAAAATATACTTTCCACGCTATTTCTTCCCTACTGTTGGCCTTTACCAACAAAAATGACATTCTCTTTCAGTGTCACCTGGAATTATAGTAAGGGCTTGGAAGCCAAATCCCAGACATATTCAAATGCAAATTGTTCACTAGTTGTGTGACCTTCTGGAGCTTGTTTCAACTTGTATAAAATGGGGATAGTACTAACTACTTTAAAGAGCTCATATAAATATTACAAAGGATAATATTTGTTACATACACAGTAGAGGGTTCTCAATCATAATAGTTGCTCAATAAATGATAGCTTGTAATAGTAATTACAAAATTTAGGATGATATCTATTGATATATTTTGCTTTATAAATAAAAGATGATTTTGCATGTATTATCTTGAAATTATGGCTTACATTTTTAAGTTTTTCAAGTGCATCTTGCTCCTTCTTGCCACTATGCCTTTGCACATGAAGGTCTGTTGGCAGGAACATTCCCCTGGCTCCCTTCCTGATTTCTGTTTTTACCCAGTTAATGCATTCTCTTCTTTCAGGTTATATTTCAATTATCACTTCCTCCTGCAAGACTTTCCTGACTTTCTTAACTAGGCCAGATCTCCCTCTTATTCACTCTAAGATCACCATATACCTCTCCTTGGAAGTATCTATCTAAGTTCTAATTTTATATCAATTTATATAATTCTTAAAATTAACGTCTGTCTCTTTCACTAGAAAATACAGTCAGGACAATTTCATTTCTTCCCCTCATGTATCTCTAGCAGCTAATGCATGGCCTAACACAGAGTAGAATCTAATATTTATTGAATGAATGAATGAGCAAATGAATGACAAGTCTTTTCAAGGTTTATGCATTTGGGTATTAAAGGCTATGTGGCCCAGAGGGCAGCATCTTTGTTGCAGAAATACTGGCAAATACTTGGTTAAAGCACATATTACTTGGCCAAGTGGTTGTGTACCTATGAAACTGCTCAAAGAGATTCTGAGGCAAGAAGGTGAGGAAGGTATATTTGGTCGTGCAGATTCTGTTGCTGGAGTATTTCCGGGAGACCTCGGCCCAATCTTGGTGGCACATGCTGTTGTTGGGGAACACGACCCGCTGCTGTGTCAGGTTGTAGCTTTGCCTCCTTTTGTCTTGGGACAACAGTGGTGTGGCTTCTGATGGAGGCTGGGGGAGGCCATCTCTGACCCGCCACTGCCACCGGTGCCAAGATGAGTCCACTGAGAAGGCCATTTCTGGCAGCAAGCGAGGCTCTGAAAACAGACACAGGAAGTTGCCATGGTCAGAAGAAAACATGGCTCACCCACTGGTCCACCTATCCATCCAAGGTAGACTCTGGGATACAATGTGAGCCAAATATGTTCAATCCCTATAAACCATATGTTCAAGAGTGAGAGACATAAAGCAAATAATCATAAAAATAATATACAACTAGCACTGTGATCAGTACCATGAAAGCATTTAAGATACGGGGAGGGTGCTGATGACCTTGTTAGGCCTATCAGGAAAAGTATGGCCCTGTGGGCTATGACCCCCAGAGGTCAGAATGCTATCTGTGGCTTGTTCCTAAAACTGAGCTGTCCCTTCACCTTCACAGTCTTCAGTGTCCTCACTGTAATATGAGGAAAACTAGTCTTATTCTACTTTTTTCACAAGCTTTTTGTAAGCAATGAATTACATAGTACATAAAAGTATGCTGAACCGTATCTTAAAGGGAAAGGTATTCTCTAGCTCTAAAATTTTCTGGTACTGATATTTTGGAGAATGTTATTTATGGTCAGAACCTCAAATGAGAGTAATAGGTAGGACGGAGAAGACAGTTTCTTTCCTAGGAAACTTTGGCTTGAGGTGACTGGGTTGTACAGAATGTCATTCCGTGGACCCCATTTTTTTTTTTTAATGTAGTTGACTGGGGGTGAGGGTGGGAGACCCTTTCCTTCCTCTCCAACTCCATTTGGTGATTTCTGAAACTGAGCACTTTTTCAGACGATCCTCCTAGATGGGGGACAAATACTGCTTTATCTAGGATATTCCAGTTCCTGAGCTCTTTTAATGGAACCTATAAGCAAGCCTTCAAGTTTCCCTCTTGCCATTCTTACATGTATGAAGAGAGGTTAATAAATAATAAATAAAATATATATTTTATTTATTAAATAAAGTGAGGATATCCTGAAGGATATTATTCAAAGACATCTTTTGTAAGAAGTTATATATAATGGTGTTTCTCACTTAGTAGGCTCACAGGATGATTTTCTTTTGAATAAATGGACGAGTGAACATCAGGTATTATTAATCTTACAATGAGCAACCTCACCTATCATTGAAAATATGATTCTTTAAAGGAGAAAAAGTTCCATTTCTAGTTTAAATGGTAATATTTTACCTTCCTGATGCCCATATGATCTGACCCTTATCATAATTCTCCTCATGAGTTTAATCAATCCAAGTGATTTTCAATCCAGAAGAGCTCTTCAGAGTCTTAAGAGAGCCCTTGTAGCAAGCATGGAAAAAATAAATGTAATTATAATGCCCATCATAATGTGACCAAAAGCAATATTATGACATATGGTAAGCCTGAAATAATATTGTATATCTTCTTTCTCGTTATAAAAAAATGTCCCTTTCATGAATTTTTTTTATTATTGTAAAATAAAAGGAAATGAAAAGATAATTCATGAATAGAGTTGAAAATGCAAATGAGAAATCTTGCCATGGCTAACACCATACATATCAGACTTCTCTCAATTTTAGGTAATAAGGACTTCAAAAAGGAAGACTGGATTGATATGGGAGATGCAGGTATTTTAGGTGGGGTGGTTTAAAAAGTCAATTTTTTTGTATCATATTCTTTGCTTTTCTTTATTCACACTGTAAAATAAGCTTTCTTAAAAATAAAGCAGATGTAGAGGAGGGAAAGATGGCGGAGGAGTAGGGGACCCTATTTCAACTGGTCCCCGGAATTGAGCTGGATATCTACCAGACCACTCTGAGCACCCACGAAACCAGCCTGAGATGTAAGAAGATCTGGATCTCTACAAACAAAATATCGCAGGAGCTTGGTTTTGAGGTACAAAGCGGAAAGCCGTGATTCTGTGGGCAGATATCGGAGGATAAACGGCAGCGGGAGGGTGCCTGGCCATGGGGATCCTACACCGCTGGTGAGCGACAGCCTCGCGCGCTGCGGACAGGTGCAGAATGCAGACTGGTAGCGCCGGGAAAGAACTTTAGGGCAGCCCCCGGGGTGGAGGACCAGACTGGCAGGGTCGCGCGCACTTGAACCACAGCCCCCCCCCCCCCCCCCCGACAGAAACCAGAGCACGGTCGTGTGCACGTGAACTGCAGCCTCCGAGATGGAAACCCGGTGCGCAGGGGTCCCGCCGGTGAACTGCAACCTCAGGGGTGGAAACCCAAAGGGGCGGAGTCGCGCGCAAACGAACTGCAGTCCCCGGGACAGGACCCCTAGCGGCGGAGTGCGTGCTGCGCGAACTGGGAGCGGCTGGCGGTTTTAGAAGCACAAAGGGCAGAGAGGAGCCCCGATCTGGAGGCAGGACTGGGAGCGCTGAGGAGGGGGGCACAACCCAGGACGCTGCAGTTTATAGCAGCACGGACAGAAACGGAGACGGTGTGGCCTGGAGAGCTCACTGAAGAACGGACTGAGGTCTCTGCTCTGAGGCAGAGGGTTGGAAATGGTCTCTTCTGCTCTGACTCACGGAAGAGACGCAGAAAGCTGCCAGGGAAAGGCACCAGAGAACAAAAGCCCCAAAGACTGATTCCCGCTGAGCCCATCCCCCGCCACAGGGGGGCAGGGCAGCACCGCCCAAACAGGGTTGCCTGAGTAACAGCGCGTCAGGCCCCTCCCGCAGAAGACAGGCTGGGAAAACAAGAGGCCAGCAACCCGAAGGTCCCAAGAAAACAGGTGCATCTTGCCTGGATTCTGGTCAATAATTTGGACTCTATACATTCCCTCAAACACCCATCAACAGAATGACTAGGAGGAGGAGCCCCCAAAACAGAAAAGACTCAGAGATTATGACTTATGCTGCAGATTTACAAGTGGATGCAGATCAGATACAACCAAGATGTCGGAGATGGAATTCAGGCTAGCAACTGTGAAGATAATGGCTAGAATGGAGAAATCAATTAATGGTAACATAGATTCTCGAAGGGCAGAAATAAAAGGTGAATTGGCAGAACTTAAAAATGCTATCAATGAGATCCAATCCAATCTAGATAATCTAACAGCTAGGGTAACTGAGACAGAAGAGAGAATAAGCGATCTGGAAGACAGTATAATAGATAAAAAGGGAAAAGAGGAGGCCAGGGAAAAACAACTCAGAATCCATGAAAATAGAATCAGAGAAATAAGTGACACCATGAGGCGTTCCAATGTCAGAATCATTGGAATCCCAGAGGGAGTGGAGAGAGAGAGAGGGCTAGAAGATGTATTTGAGCAAATCGTAGCTGAGAACTTCCTTAATCTGGGGAATGAAACAAACATTCGAGTCCTAGAGGCAGAGAGGACCCCTCCTAAGATCAAGGAAAACAGGCCAACAGCCCAGCATGTAATAGTAAAACTTGCAAATCTTAGAACCAAGGAAACCATCTTAAGGGCAGTTAGGGGGAAGAGATTCCTTATGTACTGAGGGAGGAACATCAGAATAACGTCAGACCTATCCACAGAGACCTGGCAAGCCAGAAAGTCCTGGCAAGACATATTCAGGGTACTGAATGAGAAGAACATGCAGCCAAGAATACTTTATCCAGCAAGGCTTTCATTTAGAATGGATGAAGAGATGCAGAGCTTCCACAACCGGCAGAAGTTGAAAGAATATGTGACCACTAAGCTGGCCCTGCAAGAAATATTAAGGGGGTTCTATAAAAGGAGAAAGACCCCAAGAGTGATCTACAACAGAAATTTACAGGGACAATCTATAAAAACAACATCTTCACAGGCAACATGATGACAAATAATTCATATCTTTCTATAATCACTCTCAACGTGAATGGCCTAAACGCTCCCATAAAATGGCACAGGGTTGCAGATTGGATAAAAAGACAGGACCCATCCATATGCTGTCTACAAGAGACTCATTTTGAACCTAAAGAGACATCCAGATTAAAGTGAAAGGATGGAGATCCATCTTCCATGCCAGCAGACCTCAAAAGAAAGCTGGGGTAGCAATTCTTGTATCAGACAAATTAGATTTTAAACTAAAGTCTGTAATAAGAGACACAGATCTCCAACAAGAAGATCTAACAATTGTAAATATCTATGCCCCCAACATGGGAGCAGCCATCTACATAAGCCAACTGTTAACCAAAATAAAGATTCATATTGATAACAATACGTTAATTGTAGGAGACCTCAATACTCCACTCTCAGCAATGGACAGATCATCTAAGCAGAAAATCAACAAGGAAACAAGAGCTTTGAATGATACATTGGACCAGATGGACCTCATAGATATTTACAGAACATTCCACCCTAAAACAACAGAATACTCATTCTTCTTGAGCGCACATGGAACTTTCTCCAGAATATTCCCTGCATACTCTCAGACCACAGTGCTCTAAAACTGGAACTCAATCACAAGAAAAAATTTGGAAGGAATTCAAACACTTGGAAGCTAAAGACCACTCTGCTCAAGAATGTTTGGGTCAACCAGGAAATCAAAGAACAACTTAAACAATTCATGGAAATCAATGAGAATGAAAACACATCGGTCCAAAACCTATGGGATACTGAAAAGGTGGTCCTAAGGGGAAAATACATAGCCATCCAAGCCTCACTCAAAAAAATAGAAAAATCCCAAATTCACCAACTAACTCTACACTTCAAAGAACTAGAGAAAAAGCAACAAACGATGACTAAGCCACGCATTAGAAGAGAAATAATTAAAATTAGAGCAGAAATCAATGAATTAGAAACCAGAAACACAATAGATCAGATCAATGAAACTAGAAGTTGGTTCTTTGAAAGAATGAATAAGATTGATAAACCACTGGCCAGACTTACCCAAAAGAAGAGAGAAAGGACCCAAATTAATAAAATTATGAATGAAAGGGGAGAGATTATGACCAACACCAAGGAAATAGAAACAGTTATTAGAAATTATTATCAACAACTATATGCCAATAAACTGAGCAATCTGGATGAAATGGAGGCCTTCCTGGAAACCTATAAGCTGCCAAGACTGAAACAGGAAGAAATTGACAACATGAATAGGCCAATA